CCTGTGGTATTTTACTCCTACTACACCACTTCGTTTTCCTATATCCCGCATGGCAGATGCGACAGAAGAAAAGTAAGACCGGAATTTTTCTTAGATCAATATGGAAAACCACGACGGGTTTCCCACGTACCTTTCGGTCCGGTCATTAAGACATTGGTGACTTTCACAGACGTTCTCCAAAGATAATCAAATTATAACAAGTGCCATCGAGTCACAAATGAACAAATCACAGTAACAAGCAAGGGAAAAATGAAGCATTGTCAGAAAACTTGTCCTTAACACTGCGACCTGACTTCTTGCTCCCCATCAAGAGCTGCCCAGAGAAAGCTTATGAAAACGATGCACGTTATATCTTCAACTCCAAGGAGGCAGAGTGTGGAGAGAGAAAGAGAGAGAGAAAGAAGTAGCAGCTTTTAATAGACTATGCTGGGGAAATACATAATGCTGGGGAAAAAAAAAAAAAAAAAAAGGCTTTGGGGATATGAGAAGTGCCAGGTGTGCCCAAAAACAATTTCACCTGCGCCCGTTGGTCTAATAAAAGCTGCTACTTCTTCCTCAAAAAGGCATATCCACCACCTCGTTATTGCCTCTAACTTAAATGACCTCTTTGTTTTTTAAACAAAAAGAAATCTGCATTCTGCCTCCATGCAAAGATACTGGAGATACTGACCACAGTCCTGTGACAGCAGACTGTTCAAGTAAGGGAAGCTGATCCTCTTCAGTTCATCTAGCTTCTCTTTCAGCTTCCTGACCTGGCTGTCCGAGCGGCTGATCCTCTGCCTCAGCAGTTTCAGCTCCCCGTTCTTCTTCTCCACCTGCTCCCGCAGGCAGCACACCTGGCTCTTGCTTTGCCTGGAGGAGAAACAGTACGAGTGCAGCGAGTCGATGAGCTTGCACGCTCCCGACGCCGACATGATCACCTCGTTGATGGACATGGGGTTGGCGTCCGTGTCGCCCTGGTGCCCCACGGCGGCCTCCGCGGCGGGCTGCGGGGTGAGGTCCGCCGGGGACGCCGACAAGCTCTGCGCGGGTTTCTGAGGGGTCGCGGTCAGCGACGAAGTAGGGGAGCCTTCTGCCAAGGTCTTGTCGTGTCCCCCGAGGTTGCTGCTGCAGCTTGGTTCCATGTCCCGCTTTGGCCTTTTCCTTTCCAGCTGCTCCTTTGGGAACGACGGCCTCTCCCTGGCGTGCTTGGAAGAAAAGCTGTAAGAGTGGAGGGAGCCGATGAACTTGCAGGCGCCGGGCGCGGGGGGCGTGAAGTCGTCAGCCAAAATGCCGCTCCTGTCCGCCAGCCAGCTCCCTGTCCGCGTGCCTCTGGGACAGTCCTCCATGGAAGCTCTCTCGGGCTTTTTCTGAGGACCCGTCTTTGCAATTAAATTATCCCCTAAAGTCCTTCTCCGAGGCCCTTCCAGCTGGCTGTAGATGCTCTCTTCTTTCTTAGCCATCGGCCCCATTTCAGCTTGCAAAGTCGCCTCCTCCATCTCTTTAGTCCCTTGCATCACCATCAGGTCCTGGCCAGGAGAGGACGTTCTCTGAACTACCTCACAGGCTCCTTCCCTCGACCGGTCTCCATCCTGCAGCGCTGCCTGGCTCGCTACTTTCCTTCTGCTTCGGACATAATCCAGATTGTCGTCTTTCTTCTCCGCAAGCTGGAAGATGGTAGGGACGGCGGTGGGCTTGAGCAGGCGGTGCTGGTCCTCCAGGCGCTTGGAAAAACTGTCTTTGGTGAAATGCTCGCTGCAAAGAAACGAATACTTAGTGGGAGTCCAGTTGTCCCTCTGAACCGAAAACTGAATCAGGCGCTTCGAGTCCTTTAGCGGGAACCTGAGGGGCAAAACGAAGAAAACGAAATCCTCAGAAGATGAGCAGCGTCCCCGGAACCGTAAAGGTTTGCGCCACTGGCTTGTACGGTTAGGAAGTGCAAACCCTTCCACGTGCTAACAGGTCAGCCCCGTTTGGGGGTTATTTCACTAAAACTTTGCTGCCCGTTCCCTCTGCACGGGGCTCTGCGAGAGGGAAGGGGCCGGCGGCTCCGTCTCCCGCGTCCCCT